AAGCCCTCCCCCCTCCCTCCACCCCCTTGTGCGCGCCGCCAAATATTGGGACCAGCTTCAAGGCAGGGCCATAGCGAGGCTCAGGGCGTGATGCCACGCGTCGTGCGACACAAGGTGAGCATACCCTCTTGCTACCACGCCGTGTAGGGCCAGCGTGCCCTACGGCCTGCGGCAGACTCGTGGTCGACGGAAGGCTGCGCGGGCCTGAAGATGACGCTGGCGGAGCGTGTGGTTCTGGCGGCGGAGATTTGGATCGCGCCATGTCGGCCGTACACGCCCGAGACGCGCGCCGCCCTTCTTCCGCCCACGATCAGGGCGACCTCTTTCGAGGAGGGGGACGGGGTCACCTTAGGGCCACGCGTGCTTATTTTGCCAGGGGGCTGAGGATTCAGAATCGGCTGCCTTGCCATGGTCAGTTCAGGGGGGTGGGTCCTTACAGCGAGCGGTGCCCAGGAATGAAAAGCCGCCATCTTCGGGCTGGCGCCCTGGCGGCGGGTGGGTCCCTGTGTCGAGCGGCACCCCATGAATCGCCATCTCTGGGTTGAGGCCAGGGGGGCTGATGGGTTCCCGTGCCGAGCGGCGCCCAGGAGTCAACGGTCGCCTTTTCGAGGCCGGGGCCAGGGGAGCGGGCGCTTCCCGTCACGAGCAGTGCCCAGGAGCCACGGGCCGCCACCCTCGTGCGGGGGCCGGGGGGTGGTGGTTCTTGTCACGAGCGGTGCCCAGGAATCAAGGGCCGCCATGTCCAGGTTGGGGCCATGGGGGCGGGTGTTGTTCCGTAGCGGGCGGTGCCCAGGATTCACGGGTCGCGATCTCTGGGCTGGGGTCCTCGGGGAGGCGCCGACCTGGTGCGGAGGCAGCGAGTGGCTTCCCCGCCGAGCGCGCCAGGCTCGACGGGCAGATTGGCCACTCAGGCGAGGATCGCGTGCTCGTCGTCAGTGAAGATCGGGTCCGCGTCACCGATGCGGTCTGCTGGCTCGGGGGTGGGCCCGTAGACGTCGACTGCGGCGTCTTCCACGGCTCACAGGTTGCGCGCGCTCCGCGGTTGCGGCGCCCAGCGTCAGCCTCTGGCGCGTCCGCGGCTCCAGCGAACTCCTGACAGAGCGGACCTTCCAGACTCCAGCCCGCGGCATGGAAGTTGAGCGGTTCGCCCCGTGCTGCGTCCACTCCTCCTCTCCTCTTCCGCCCTTCCTCCTCCTCTCCCGCCCTCCTCGTTTTCTTGCGCTGCTCGGGCCTGAACGATCAAGCATCGTAGCGTCTCTGTTCTCCTCCTCTTCCAACGACGAGGACGGACGACCACGACGATGGACTTTTCTGCCCTTCCTCCTCCTGCCCCGTCCTCCTCCTCCTCCGACGGGGACGGCGACGGCGACGTCGACGGCGACGACGGCGACGACGACGACGACGACCGAAGACGAGGGCAAGTGCGACGACCCCGGTCCGAGGAGATAGTCAGCCCTTGCGGGGCCCCGCCGCCAGCAGCGACAGGCCAGCACCCCGTCGGTCGGTCGCGTCGGGTTCTCGTCTTCGTCGTCCGTCGTCGTGCTGTGCCTCCCCGTCTTCCCGTTGCTGCTGCTGCTGCTGCTCCTGCTGCTGCTGCTCCCCCTACGTGCTCCTGCTCTGCATCTCCCTGCTGCTGCTGATCCTGCTCCTCCAGCTCCTCCTCGTCGTCCGCCTCGTCTGCTTCGCCGCCGCCGCCGTCGTCGCCGTCGCCGCCGGCCAGACGACGTCGGGGAGGAGGATGAGGAGGAGGAGGAGGACGAGGAGGAGGAGGGGGAGGAGTAGCAGGAGGAGGAGTAGGAGGAGGAGGAGCAGGAGGAGGAGGAGGAAAAGGAGGAGGACGACCAGAAGCGTCCTTCGAGGCAACGGCGCCGCTGGCCCTCCGGCACGCGAGCCGCCCCCCACGGAGCCTGCGGCGCAGCCGCAGCCGGCTCCAGCTGGGCCACGGCAGGACCCCGCGGCGTGCCGGCCGTCGAAGCTCGTCGTCGCCGGAGCCGTCGTTGCCAGTGCCGCCGCCGCCGCCGCCGTCGTTGCCGCCGTCGTCCCCATCGTCGTTGCCGTCGCCGTCGTCGCCGTCGTCGCCGTCCTCCGTCGGTGTCGCCAGCCATGGCCGTCGCCGTCGTCGCCGTGCTTGCCTCTGCTGTCGGCGCCGCCGCCGCCACCAGCGTCGTCGTCGGGGCCGTCGTCGCCGCCGTCGTCGTTGCCGTCGCCGCCGTCCTCATTAGCCACGTTGGCTCAAGCCACTTCGGCCTGGTCCGTCTGGGTTCGGTCCATGCCACAAGCAGGCCCTGCCTGGGCGGTGTCAAGTGCTCGTGCGCAGGCCTGCTTGTAGAGACGTAGCTTCCACCCGGGTGTCTTTTCGTGTTTACGGGAGGCTACGGAATCTTCGGGTGGTCGTTATCCTCGCTGATGAGCAGTAATGGTTCAATACTGTGGCGGTGTTCGTTAAGGAATGTGCCCAGGAGGCTTCAGACCCTGGAGGATTCCTTATCTGATGAGGGCGGTGGTGATATCCATGGCCTTGCCCCAGCTTCCAGACCCTGATTTCCTTATCCAATGGCTCCTTATCCAATGCCCTCGCCGCAAGGATTGCGAGCATGTTGCGTTTACCAGGCGAATGGTTTCTCATGAAGCAAGAACGACCCTATCTTCGCTGCCGACCCATAACTTGTACACGATTCCATGTTGCGGCAGTGTTGTGAAGCGTCATACGGGTCTCGTCAGATGACGAGAACCATTTGACAGCACCCACCTAAACGTTATCTGTTCTTGCAATCATGCAGTTTTTATTTTAAGCGCAACGCATCATTTGCACAACTTCGCTGGGGATGATTCAACATGATTACGCCGCATCCGCCGACCCTGAAATCTTTTCTGGTTGTGCCACATGCCTTCTTGGGCCCTTCTTGGGCCTCTCCCAAGGCACTCTTGGGCCAGCCTGGAGCGTCCTGGCTGAAAAATGTCTGGCTCAAAAACCAGCAGGGAGGGACCCAGAGGGGGGTTAATTACAACGACGGAGTCGGCGTCTTCGTTTCGGTGGTTCTTGGTGCGTTTTTGAAGGTTCCCGTCGCCACTATTGGATGAGGCTTGAAAAACTGGCGAGGGTGAGTCTGCTGTGGATGGTCCGACGACGTCGGCGTCTTCGTCTTGGATGTTTTTTGGGGCGTTCCTAAACGTTGTCGTTGCCACCGCTGGGCGCGGCTCGAAAGACTGACCAGGATGGCCCCCTCGAGAGGCACGACGATGTCGACGCTTTCGATTCTGATTTTTTGGGGGTATTGAGACCTCGCAACTGCGGGTTTCGAAATGCCTCGCGAGAGGTGGCCCAGCCCTTGTCGCTTGAGACATCCCCGCCACTCTCGGCTCAGAGATGCCCTGACCTGAAGCGGTCTAGCCCGTTTCGCCTGAGGTATCTTCGCAATTGTGAGTCCGGAGCTGCCACACGAGAGGCCTAGCCAGTTTCGCCCAAGACATCCTTGGAACTCTGGGCTAGGGATGCCCTGACCTGAGGTGGTCCAGCCAATTTCGCCTGAGACATCCTCGCATGCTCGGAGATGCCCTCACCTCACCTGACGTGTTCCAGCCTATTCCAGCCGGTTTCGCCTGAGACATCCTCGCAACTCTGGGCTCAGAGATGCCCTGCACTCGCTGTCGGTGATGACCTATTTGGCAATTGGGGCCTACCGTCAATCCGGCAATCGGGGCGCTGAAATCCTTCCCTTCGCCAGTTGCAAGGCTGACAACTGGAGCCAATTGCCACCCGGACGAAGCTCGCTGGGCATTTTTTTTGCGGCGAGCTGCCCCTTCCCTGCGGGGGGGATTGAGGGGGGAGTGAAGTCACACGTCAGTGACCCCAAGTCGAAGGGCACCAACTATACACCAACACCGATCCTGGCCCAGGATCACCCTGGGCCCAGGATCGGTGTATATGCCTTCTTGCGCAAGGCAGGAGGGCGTATACACCGATCCTGGGCCCAGGGTTATCCTGGCCAGGATCGGTGTTGGTGTATAGTTGGTGCCTTCCTACCAAGTGGTCGGCGGATGTTCTTCGCCTTGACTGCTGCGTGGCGTTTCGTCGGGGGGGGAGGCCCGACGCTGCCCCATCAGCCAGTCTGCTGTTGTTCGGGCTCGCCTGGCTCCCGCGCCGAAGCACGGTGTCCTGGCGACGGACCCAATCCCAGACCTCCTCGAGTCATGAAAAAATCACGACGGGAGGTTTTTCGCTATTTTTCGGCCTCTGAGGGCCCTCACCGGGCCTCAGGAGCGTCAAAAAACGACTCGGGATGAAAAACCGGTCCCGGGGAATGGGTCTGGACCTCTGGGGGTCGCGTCATGAAAAAATCATGACGTCGGGGGTCTGGGATCAGGTGCAGGCGCAAGCACCGCAGTTGTGAAAGGCGTTTTCGGTGGAGCTCCCCCACGAAACGTGCGAGGGGTGTGCCGAACCGGGGGCGGGCACGCCGTGCGGGCCCTGCCGCGGTGGCCTTCGGTGGAGCTCCTCATGGGGCCACGCAATGCGTGAGGTGTGTGTGTGTGGGGGAGGGACAGAGAAATAGAGAAATAAACAAAAAACAACAAAAAAAACAAGAGCGAGAGAGAGAGAGAGAATGCGTGTGTGTGTGTGTGTGTGTGCGTGTGTGTGTGTGTGTGTGTGTGTGTTACCAGTGGTTTCGCTCGCTAGGTTGACAGCACCACCAATCTGCTTTACAGTTTTTTCTTGCGCTACACTGTCTAGCACCGTTGTTGTGATTCAGTGGCCGCAATTCGTCGCTGGCTCCCGCGCTTCAGTTGACTTTGAGTTGAGTTATCGCCTCGTTTTCTGGCCGCTGCACGTTTCGCTTGGAATTCCAGCTCCTCTTTCGCACCCATCGGTTGCATGTTGCGCTGTTGCTGCTTGTACGCCGCGCTAACGACAACGTTCGGTCGCAAGTAGCACTTCCATCTGCTGCTCGCGCTTGAGGACCCGTTTCGCCGCTGACTTGAAGTGTGTGTGTGTGTGTGTGTGTGTGCCGGATCGGGTGCGGGTATGGCATGCGGACCCTGCCGTCGGGGACTTTGGTGGAGCTCCCTATGAGAATATGAAATGTGTGAGGTGGTGAGGGGGTCGGAGGCGGATCCGGGCACGCCATTCGGACCCTGCCGTTTGGGACTTGAGCTCCCTGTGGGGCCCCGAGGCGTGTGAGGGGAGCGCCGAATCGGGTGCGGGTGCGCCATGCGGACCGTGCCGTTGGGGCTTTCGGTGGAGCTCCTCATGGGGCCGTGCCGAATCGGGTGCGGATGCGTTTTGCGGACCCTGCCGTTGGGGCCTTCAGCGGAAGCTCTTTGTGGGGCTCCGAAACGTGTGAGGATTGCGCTGGGTCGGGCGCGGGTGCGCTAAGCTGACCGTGCCGCTGGGGCCTTCGGTGGAGCTCCTTATGGGGCCACGAAGCGTGACAGGGATGTGCCGAATTGGGTGCCGGTTCGCCACTCGGACCCTGCCGTTGGGGCCGTCGGTGGAGCTCCCTATAGGACCACGGCGAGTCGGGTGCGGGTACGCCATGCGCACCTTGCTGGAAGGGCCTTCGGCGGAGCTCCCTATGGGGCTACGAAGCGTGTCAGGGGTTCGGCTCGGGTGCGGGCACGCCAGGCGGACCCTGCCGCTGGGGCCTTCGGTGAAGCTCCCCATGGGGCCTCGAAACGTGAGCCCGCTGCGGCCATCAAAATCCCCTCGTGGGACCCTCTTGGGCCGCTGTTGGGCGACCTTGGGGCCGTATGGGGGGGCCTCTTGGGCCTTTCTTGGGCCTCAATTGGGCCATCTTGGGGCCATCCGCAGACCTCAGAAGCGCATCAGAAGCGAAAAGGCGAGGAAGCATCATGAATGTTTGTGTGGCTTTTAATGATTTTGGTCTCTTGGCGGGGTCCCGCGAGACCCCCAAGAGTGCAAAGGTTGGCCCCGAGAGACACTAGCGGACCATGATGGCGCGGGACAGCCAAACTGGCCCAAAGATCGCCGAGATCCCCCCCAGGACCTCCCCCCCAGCGGGAACGGGATCAAAAGGAACGGGTTTCCTTTCGACTCGATTGCGACTTGGGTCGATTCACCTGACGCCAGCGACTGGTGATCGCAGGGAGGGGGGGGGTCGGGAGCGAGATAAGGACGTACACGTACATGAATCCACGCTGGTTTCGAGAGTACGCATTGCCCGAATGTTCGTATCACGCGGCCAGTGTCGCGGATCGACGGGCCGTGTTCATGTACATAGTTGGGCGCGTACGTCCTTTGTGGGATCCCTCGGGAGGAGAGCTTCGAGTGCAAACGAGCGTCCTCCAGGACCACCCCGTGGACGACAACCGCACTGCCCCTCACACACTCCGACAGGGTCGGTGGACTCGCACGCGCGAAGATCCGCCGCCCGCAGGCTCGAAGCTCGGGCGCTAACAGCCGTGAACACACGTGCCAGACCCGCTCGTGCCAAGCGCGTCTTCGATGCCCCGCTCGGCGCACGCCCTTGCACGCGTGAAAATCGGCCGGCCACTTCGGCGCACCCTGCTTTGCGCCGCTCTGGCCTGGGACCAGGGGCCCCACGACTAAAAGAGGCCTTGGGCACACGGCCTTCTCAGGCACTCCGCCGGAGGGCACGCGGGCAGGGGGAGGAGGGCACGGAGGGAAGGGGGGAGGAGGGCAAGAGGGGAGAGGGGGGAGGGAGAGGACGAGGAGGAGGAGGAGGAGGAGGAGGAGGAGGAAGAGGAGGAGGTGAGGGGGAGGAAGAGGAGGAGGAGGAGGAGGAGGCGGAGGATGCGGAGGAGGAGGGAGTCCGAGGAGAAACGTCCGAGAAGCGCCGGTCGCGAAAGCGATGCCGGGGCGGCCAGAAGAGCCGAGTGGGTGCGGGCGCGCGGGCCCTTGAGACTGGCCAAGAGGAGGGGCGCGCAGGAGGGCTTTTGCGCCCGGCGTCTCCTGCTCCGCACACTCCTCATTGTTCGTCCTCATCCTCCTCCTCATCCTTCCCTTGCCCACCCTCGTCCTCCTCCTCCTCCTCCTCCTCCTCCTCCTCCTCCTCCCCTTTTCCTCCTCCTCCTCCTCCCCTTTTCCTCCTGGCCCCTCTGCCCCAACCGAGGGCCCCTGTTCATTCTTCACTCTGTTGCCGCTTCCCCCCCTTTGCACTGCGGGGGGCAGGGCGGGTGAAGCTCGGGAGAGGGGCAAGGACTGGAGCGGGGCCGACGCCTTCCGGCTGTGCAGCGCGGAGGGCCGCGTGCACTTCGAGGGCAAGGTCCGGTTCATGGACAAGGCGGGGGATCTTCGCCACGGGGGAGACGTGGCCCCTGAGATCCGACGCTCCAAAAAAGTTCGAGCGGCAAGGTTTTGGCAGCTTTCGGCCTCCGGGGGCCCTCGCTGGGCCTCGGGAGCGTCAAAAACGACTCGGGACGGAAAACCGGCCCCGGGGAAGTGGTCGGGACCTCTGGGGTCCACGCACCGAAAAAGTTGGAGCAGCGGGATGTCTGGGAATACGGGGTCCCCAGAAGTCTCGACCCATTCCCCAAGACCGGTTTTTCATCCTAAGTCGTTTTTTGACAGTCCCGGGGCCCGGCGAGGGCCCCGGCACTTGATTTGTTAGAATCACCTCCGTCTTGATTTTGTCAAAGCGTTTTCGTCGAGGGACAAGGGGCCCGAGGTTTTTTTTCGCCAGCTTCAGCCCGGGGGCCCTCCGAGGCCCCGGGGATGGAGTAAGGAGCGACTCGGGGTGAAGATCTCGTCCCGGGGGAAGGCCCCGGGGCCCAGGGCCCGTGTCCCTCCGGGTCCGCTGCCCCCTCCTCCTCCTCCTCCTCCTCCTCCTCCTCCTCCTCCTCCTCCTCCTCCTCCTCCTCTTCCTCCTCTCCTCCTCTCCTCCTCCTCCTCCTCCTCCTCCTCCTCCTCCTCCTCCTCCTCCTCCTCCTCCTCCTCCTCCTCCTCCTCCTCCTCCTCCCCCATGCTGAGAGATCTGCACCGGGCTGCTGCAGGGGAGAGAGGGGGGGGAGGCGGAGAGGGGGGGGGGGCTCGGAAGGGCGAGGGGGCATAGGGGAGAGGTGACAGGGACGGGAGGGATACACATGGTTCATGTCTAATTCTTCGAATGTTCTTTGATTTTTTGGGGGCCAAGATCCATCCATTTCTAATTGTTCTATCATGTGCCTCTTCCTGGCCACTAGGGGGCCAGGAACAATTCGAAACGAGACCAATTAGACGTGTAGGTTGTGGGCGGTCTTGGGTGGGTGTGATGCCCGTGGGGAGCACCTGTGTTTGCCTCCTGCCCACCAGGCCGCGCGAACTGCAGCTGAGCCTTCGGCCCTCTCTCGCCTCCTCGCTCTCCTTCCGTCTCCCTGGCTCTGCAGGCTCCAGCACGACGGCAGTGCCAGCAGGTGCGCGTTTCCTTCATCCCTCAGCTCTTCCTCCTCCTCCCTCCCTCCACCATCCTCCCAGCGCTCCTCCTGCCATTCCTGTCGTCTCGGGTTGCCTAGTCCTCCTCCTCCCACCCCTTTCCCCTTCCTCCCCATTGCTCCTGCAGTCTTGCTTGCTTCCTCCTCCTGCTGCTGCTCCTCCAGCTCCTCCTCCTCCTCCCGTCCCCGTCCCAGTCCAGAACAGCGCAAGGGGCGCTGGAAGGGCCGAATAGGGGAACGAGCATATTCCGTCACTTAACTAGTCTGTTGTCCTTCTCGTCGTCGTCCTCCTCCTCCTCCTCCTCCTCCTCCGTCCTCCACCTCCTCCTCTTTTTCCTCCTCCTCCTCCTCCTCCTCCTCCTCCTCCTCCTCCTCCTCCTCCTCCTCCTCCCCTGGACGAGCGACATCAGAGAGACGACGTGCTGGACCCAAGTCAGAGTCGAGTTGACCAGTTGAGTCCTTCTACTCCTCATCCCCTTTCCTCCCCCTGGTCCTTCTTCTGACGAATGATGGTACATACAGTCATCGTGTGTCCCCTCATGCTCATCCCCTTCCTCCTGGTTTTCATCCCTCCCCTATCCCTCCTCCTACTCACTCTCCTCTTTCGTCCTCCGTCCTCCTCGTCGTCCTCCCCCTCCCGAGCGCTCCCACTGTCTCACCTTGGCTCTGACTCGACTTGTTGACTCGCCTTCTCCTCTTGCCGCGTGTTTTTGCGCGCTTGCTGCGATTCTCACACGCGCGCGTGCAGCAGTTCTGGGGCGGGCAAGGCGAGGTTCTCGTCGCTGGAGGCGGCCGTGAACAAGCTCAACGAGGGGCGTGCAGAGGAGAAGTGGGTCGCGGTGTTCGCGAAGGGTCCCGAGTGCCAGGCTCGCCTCTCCTGGGAGGAGAGGGGGGAGGACAAGGAGGGAGAAGAAGGGAGGAGGCGGAGGACGGAAGGAGGGAGTACGGAGCAGGAAGTAAGAGGAGGAGGAGGAGGAGAAGGAGGAGGAGGAGGAGGAGGAGGAGGAGGGGGAGGAGGAGGTGGAGGAGGAGAAGGAGGGGGGCGGGGGAGGAGGAGGAGGAGGAGGAGGAGGAGGAGGAGGAGGAGGAGGGCGGGAGGGAGTAGGGGGGAGGAGGGAGCGAGAAGGGAGGAGAGAGAAGAGGACTCTGGCACCGTGCGGCCTCTTCCCCGCTGATGCCGCTCCAGTCTGCGCCTTCGCCTCTTCGATGTCACCCCTCCCCCATCCAGCAGTCATCATCGTTCAGCTCTCGTCGTCCTCCTCGCAGTTCCCATCGTTCACCTCTCGCTCATCATCTCCATCCAGCAGTCCCTCTTCGCCTCTTCGATTTCAGCTCTCATCGTCCTCCTCCGTCCCCCTTCTCTGTGAGTAGACTCCTTGTCGCACCACCTGAAGTGTTTGTCGTCCGGGTCGGGCGTTTCACTTGAGATCTCCCCACGGCTTATTACCCTGAAGTTGAAAGCTCCAACAGTTACAAGGATGGAGGGGCGCGTACATTCGTTTTTTTAGTTTCCAACTCTCACAAGGATGAAGGGTGGGTGGTGTTCACAAAGGTACTCTCGTCTTCACGCCGCGTACGATGGTTTTAAAACTTCCAGCAGTCACAGAGATGGAGACCGGCTCGTCTTCAGAATGCGGTTCTCGTTATCAAGTTACGAGACTCAGAGTCCCAAAGTGTGGAGCAGTTGCACGGATGGACGGCGATTTCTTTTCAAGATGAGGCTCTCGCCAGAACTATCCGCAGTCTGTGTGAGCATAGTTTCCGGCCTGTGCAGCCTTGTGCAGCCTTAGTACGGATGGAGAGCAGATCCTGGTACAAACGGGGATCTCGTTGGACACTCCCTTGAGCATACCCAGAGGAGATCTCACCACCAAAAATATCGGCACAGCTATATTATAGTTGCTTCGCTATATTACAGATACATTTAACTCTATAATTATGAAATGGCGAGGGCGCCCCAACACAAGAATGTTGCCGATCAGGAGGAGTTGGAGGAGGAGGAGGTGGTGGTAGAAGCATGGTGCTTAGAAGCATCATATTTCTTTGCTTTTACTTGTACTAATAGCATGGAGACTGAATCCTTTACAGAACGGGCTCTCGCCTCAGGCGGGCCCACCGGGCGCTCGTCATCGAAGGCATTGCTCCCCCCTTGTGGAACGGAATGCCTGCGGGGACTTGTGCGGAGGGGTCTTGTGAGGGGAGGGTGTATCGCAGCATCGCCGACGCATCCTGGGTTTTCTCTGGTCCTCCTCCTCCTCCTCCTCCTCCTCCTCCTCCTCCTCCTCCTCCTCCTCCCCATTCCCCATCCCTCTTCCTCTCTCCTCCCCCTTCTCCCTCGTCCCCCCTCCTCCCCCCTCCCCCTCCTCGCTCTCTCCCTCCTCCTCTTCCCGGTGCGCCCGCTGCACCCTCCACAAAGCTCGAGCCTCCTGCCCCCCTGGCGCCGCCGTCCGGGTCGTCCTGGCCCTCCCCGCCTCCGGGCCCTCCTCCGCTCGCCCCGCGCCCCCTCGCCTCCGCCGACGAGCTCCCCCCCAGCTCGGGGTTCGGTCTCGCCGTCGCCTGCCTCCGACACCCCTTTCGTCTGGGGCCGGTTGTGCACCCCGCCTTCCCAGCTGCCCAGCCTCTTGCCTCTGCCCCTCCCCGCCGCCCCGCAGGCCGCTCGCTCGCTCCTCCCCCTTTCCCGTTCTCCTCCCCTTCTCCTGCCGCTGCCGCTGCTCGCCGACCGTTTTCATCCCTGTCATCTTCCTCTCCCTCCTTCTCCTTCTCCTCCTCCTTGCGGCGCGACGATGAGTTCCGCCAGTTGCATGTTTGCAAACTTCCCCTCCTCCCCCATCCCTCTCCTGCTGCCTATCCTGGTATTCCTCCTGCTCCTTCTCCTGCTCCTGCTCCTGCTCCTGCTCCTCCTCCTCCTCCTCCTCACTCCTCTCCTCCTCCTCATCATCATCATCATCATCATCATCATCATCAGCATCAGCATCAGCATCAGCATCAGCATCAGCATCATCATCATCATCATCATCATCATCATCATCATCATCATCATCATCATCATCATCATCATGATCAGCATCAGCATCAGCATCAGCATCAGCATCAGCATCAGCATCATCATCCCATTCTTCCTTTAGGCTCCGTCTCTTTTCCCCGCTATCCCCCTCCTCTCATTCCTCCTCCTCCTCCTCATCCTCCTCCTGCTCCTCCACCTCCTCGTCGTCCTCCTCCTCCTGTTCCTTCCTCCCATCCTCCTCTCCTCCTCCTGCTGAGGACAGCGTTCACCTCCTCCTCCTCCTCCTCCTCCTCCCTCTCATCCTCCTTCTCCTCCTCCTCCTCCTCCTCCCCTCCTCCTCCTCCCCTCCTCCTCCCCTCCTCCTCCTCCTCCCCCTCCTCCTCCTCCTCCTCCTCCTCCTCCCCTCCTCCTCCCTCCCCTCCTCCTCCCTCTCCTCCTCCTCCCTCTCCTCCTCCTCCGCCCAGAACCATCCGATGCCACTCGATCCCCTCCGAAGAGAGCCACCGAAACGACCCTATATCCTCGTCGGCGGGCTGCGCCGGCGGCCGGCGCGAGCCACCGCAGGTAAGGTCGCGCCGTGCGCTCGTGCGCAAGCGTAGATGGACAACACATGGAACCCGTGACTCCTCCTCCTCCTCCTCCATCTCCTCCCCCTCCTCCTCCTCCTCCTCCTCCTCCTCCCCTCCATCTCCTCCTCCTCCTCCTCCTCCATCTCCTCCCCTCTCCTCCACCATCTCCTCCTCCCCTCCTCCTCCTCCCTCCCCTCCTCCTCCTCACTCCTCCCCCTCCATCTCCTCCCTCCATCTCCTCCTCCTCTTTCCTCTCCTCCTCCTCCCCTCCTCGTCTCCTCTCATCCTCCTCCTCCTCCTCTCTCCTCCTCCTCCTCCTCCTCCTCCTCCCACCTACTCCCCCTCCATCGCCTCCTCTTCTCCTCCTCCTCCTTCTCCTCCTCCTCCTCCTCCTCCTTCCCCCCACATTCAAAGTTGTTCCCAGACATTCGAGAGCGCAGGCCTGAAAGGAGCAACAGAAGAAAAGGAGACCCAGGCCACCGGCAACCGTCGACGCTGTCTCGCCAGGAGTTTCGGGAGCACGTGTGCCAGTGCTACCGTGAGGCCTGCACAGAGGACGCGAACCCCACGAAGTCCAGCCTGATGTTCGGCACCGTCGCGCGCGAGCGGCACCACAACTCCCAGCGCGAGCAAGAGAGGGAGCTGCACATGCACTTCATCGCCTACTGCTCGATGAGGCACTACTGGCGCGTCGTGGCCAACATTAGCTTGGCGAAGTACCGCGTGAAGCTGCACTGCGCTTGCCACGAGGGGTACACCACGATGTACGCCTATCTCTGGTGCCCCACGCCGAAGAAGCCCTTGTCGGAGCTCGACCCGAGCCCGCACTGGTCGTCGCAACATCCGCAGGGCGTTTTTCCAACGACTCGTGCAGGCCAGCGCCCACGCGGACCGCGCAAACCGCGGCCAGCAGAGACGCGGTGCGTCGGGGGGCGACCAGCAGGCGGAAGCGAGGTACCGCACCAGCGACTTGTACAGCACGGCACAGCGGACTGGAATCTCCACCGCGCCGGCCTTCCGCGCGCACGCGCAGGACCTGGCGGACAACGGCGACAGTTCGCTGGCCGAGTTCTGCACCGTCGCGGGCGGCGGCTTGCAGGAGAAGCTCGACGCGGCGTGGGCCGTGCACGACTCGCTGCGGGCGCTGGCCGCCGCCGAGGCGGACCGCGTGGGCAAGCTTCGCCAGGCGGCAGAGGAGTCCCCCTGCTCCTGCAGCGGCGCGTGGATCCCGGGGGCGCTTTTCGTGTTGGAGAACAACGGCGAGTGCCCGAAGGCATTCTGCCACGACGTCTACAGAGCGCTCGCCCTGGGGGCCAAGCGCGGCGTGAACGTGGCAATCATACGTGGACCCAGCACGGGGAAGTCGACGGTCATGGAGCCGTTGGACGACATTTTTGTGACCAGTGCCAAGCCGCTGCGGGACAGCTCCTTCCCGTTGGAAGGGCTCTCGGCGCAGAGGTGCTGCCCTGGCAGGAGTTCACATACTCGAAACGCGCAGTTGCGTGGGAAGACCTCCTTGCCATGCTGGTCGGCGAGAAACTTGCCGTCCGCTGCTGTGGAACGAAGCTGGTGCAGCACAGAAACACCGCGCCCATGTTCTATACGGCGCGGCAGCATCTGCGCTACCCTTCCATGAACCCGCAGGAGATGGTGGACTACGACCAGGCGATGCTGGAGCGGTTCGCGACGAGGAGATGGACGGTCCCGCTGCCACTTGGCACGCGAAACCCGGACTTCCCGCGGTGTGGCCAGTGCTTCAGTCGTTTCGTCCTTCAGAACGAGATGGGTTTCCAGAGCAGCTCGGCGGCGGCGAGGCCGATGCCGTCGCCAGAGGAGCGCCAGCGATAGCTCCATCTGGCCCGCCGCGGCTGGGCTGGCGCCATGCGCCGACGCCCCCGTCGCGCGTTTTGCTGGATTCGGTTCGAATGCTTCTCGTCGAACGCTTGATGGGCGCAGCTCGGGATCTCCGTCGCGCGTTTTGCTGGCTTCGGTTCGAAAGCTCCTCGTCGCACGCTTGATGGGAGCAGCTCGGAATCTTTGTCGCGCGTTTTGCTTGGTTCGGTTCGGAAGCCCCTCGTCGCACGCTTGCAGGGCGCAGCTCGGAATCTCTGTCGCGCGTTTTGCTGGTTTCGGTTCGAAAACCCCTCGTCGCACGCTTGATGGGCGCAGCATGGAAATGCCGCAGACGCTTGCGGGGCCTCAGCGAGGCCGCGGACTTACAGAAGAGCGCGTCGCTCTGGCGCGACAAACAGGCTGGCAGTTTCGCGCGCGTCTCGTCGATTCCACGGTGCAT